GAGGGGGGGGGGGGGGGGGGGGGGAGGCCTTAACATGAGGGTGTGTGTGTGTGAGTGTGTTTTTTTTTTCAATGACTGTGGGTGTCCGGACCATTTTACGTGCACCTCGATTAATCCCACAGGGTTCTGAAATTTATATATGGGTATTCAACTCAGTGGCATTGAGGGGACTCGAACTGGTGACCAACATGATGGTGTGTGTTAAAAATATGTGGTTCTATCCAACAACTTAAGCCTTATTTAGTTCAACAAAATAAGTTCGCCTCGTTATCTAGTTTAAACTGATGGACTTGAATAGCGATAACTCAATGAACCAATCACTTTGGTAGAATTCAAGCATGATATCATTTATTTGGATCGATAATTGACCAAGGTACACACAATATTAGAATTTGGAATACCCGCAATATTTTTCACAGCAAGTTCCGTTTTGTTGACAAGGACACTCCTTTCCACACATGGACTGGCACCCACAAGGAGTATATTGCTTATATGGCTGGTCTTTCCCATCTGCAATTCTTCTCCAGAGTGATGGGTGGCCAGCAGACTTCCAAGAAGGCTTAAGCTTCCGCATTCTTCCCCTTTTACGATATATTCGTGGCCTTACTGGCATCTCTGACTCCTAATACATCCAACATAGAACTTGATAAATGGGAGTGAAATGAGCAATTGGCGTTGCTAACTTGGTGCAAACAGAATCACAAAAATTAATTTAAAAGAAAAATGAAAGTGGGTGGAAGTTTCTTTCTTTTTCTTGACAAGGAAAAAACTTTTCACTATATAGGAAGCACGCATACAAAGGTTATAGGACAAGAGATAACAGGTGTCGTCTTAACGCAATTGACTCTTCCATCTATTCTTAATAGCAGAGCTAGAAACTTGCTCTAGAAATTCTGTAAATTCTTAATTTTGTAGACTAATTTACCAAGATAGGATCTGTAGAAATGTATCTAAAATGAAAATAATTTAAAATTGAATTTGTTTGTTCCATAAAATTTGATTCTGGTATGATATTTCTGATAATTTCAAAGAAAATCCACAAAAAAGGTTACTTCCGTAAAGCTAATTTAAAAGGGTTAAGCCCGCTATTAAATATATGCTAAAAACATAATCAATGTTGTCGAACTTTGATTATATGTATCGGAAAGTAGCTTTGTGCCGAAGAATGTGAAAACGAATATTGCTCCGAAAGTTGAAATTGTCAATTTATAGAATATGAAGAATCTTGAGCTGTATTAATGTACATCAATTGTATCAGTCAGGATTTCAGCATCCAAGAAATTGGGAACACCTGACTCGTGCACTCGCCTTTGGGAAAGGATGAGAAGAGATAATAACTAACCGTATCCATGTCAGTTTTTCCAACATCCTCTAATAATGGGTTCAGCGCAGAAGAAGATCCACGAGAAATTATTGCTTCTTCACTGCGCATATAATTGGCTACTTCTAAGCAAGTCTTCAAACCAGGCAGCATGTTCCTTGCTATAAGGCAACTGCAAAACATGAGGTGTCAACTAGCTAATGTGATGTATGATTACATTGTAATTCTAACTAACAGAGTATATGAATTTCTACCTCTGTCCAGGATAAAAAGCACCAGGGTAATAATCATATGAAGAACAACAAGATAAGCATGGGTGCATTCTATAATATACAGTCATTCTCTCTTGTTGAAGGTTTTCCTGTTTACTGGTGAGTTAACGTATGTGTTTCAAGTCATGACTCTTCCAGTTGTCTTCAACCACTCTTGCAGAAAAAAGAACTCACTGCCTAAACAAGCTAATTAATTGGTAATCAGGATTTAAATCAGATTACATCCAATTGCATAGTGTACTAACATGACATGCTTCCACATAAATCCGTAAGCAATTTCAACAAACTGATAATACAAGGTAAAAGCTAGAGAAAATAATAGATCCCATACCTGTTTTTTCCAAAAATCTCAATCCCCTTTAAGTACAAGTCTTTCTCTACAGGTCTCCAGTCACCATGTCTGTGAGAAAATTTAGCTGAATCCTTCAAAGGTAATCCTCCAATGTCTTTTCCTTTATCTTTGACCTTATTCCCACTTATAGGAAGACGAGGACGACATTCATTCGAATTGTGTTTATGTAAAATGTGAACTGCATCAGTGGTCGTCATCTGGCATTCATCTTCATTGGATTGAACCATTTCCACACCCTGGACAACTGGATTTGGGGTAAGGTCCATAGAATTATGCACTGCCAACTTCAGTTTCTTACTGGAAGAACTTAATAAGTCATCAGGAACAAGTTTTGAGGTTTTAGCCAATGAAGTAGTAGGCAGTGATGTCCTCCACTCTCCTTGGCATTCTTGATGGCGTATTTGCAAGGGATCTATGTCTGAACTCAAGGGCAAGTCTCTTAACACGTTCAACTAAAAACACCAAAATGGAAATTTTCCACACAGGAAAAACCATTGAGTTGCCATAATTGACAACATGCAGATTAACATTCATAACCATCAAAACAATTAAGTGAAGCATGATAATGGATTAACAATAAGTTCCTTATGATAAATTTGAAGCTTTAAATATTATGTTCCTCCATGGACAACATACTCAAATGTTTTTAACCTCTAGCTTGCATTACATAAAAGCATAGAAGAACTATAACTACTGGGTTTCGCCAATGAAATATAAATTTCAAGCTTAGCACAAACAATTATTTTATCATATTTCAGTCATAAGCTAATGATAATAGCAAAAGCCTGCTCCTGAAATGCACATAGTAAGGTTTAAATGACAGGCAACTGATTTAAATTCTCTACATGGTGGGATATGAAATGCTGTCAATTTCTAGCATGGGCTAGACACTAATTCCCACAAAAAGTAGTTATGATTGAATGGATCGATGCTAAAATCTTGGATCTTCTAACCCTCAAGAATTGAATATGAAACTTCACTTTTCCTTTTAATTTCCAGAGCAAAAGATTTACGCAGATGTGTAAAATAACATGAGCTAAAGCTCTATGGATTAATATATTAGTCATTTCATTTATTAACATCCAAAGTAGTCTCATTATTCCAGATGCTTTTGGAAAGCCATACCTGAAGGTAACACCGATCACTACAAGGTTTCCCACCCTCTTGAGAATCAAATGTGTATGACTGCTTTTCACTCTGTCAACCAAAAATTCTTTAAATAAACCCACAAATGTCAGGTATCCAAAAGAATCTGAATGAAGTTTTAGCTTACAGAAAAAATAAGAATTTGGGGGCAGGGATGCAAGCCACACTTAAATTCCTGTTAGCAACAAAAAGAAATAGTCAGTTTAGCGTGACTTGCAATTCATCAATCGAGTGAAGGTAAAAGTATCTTTCACACAATGCAATTCATGTTACATACAACTACGTACCAAACATCGACGACAAAAATAAGAATCAAACGATCGTAGAGCAGCAGTAAGGCTTTTGTCCAGGAACTCAATATCTCCAGAGTTCTGTTTTTCTGCCATTTGATTTTCCTTTAGCATGTTGCAGCGCTCCTGCATATCACGGGAATGAATTCATCTGAAGAATAAAGAAGATGACTGTAAACAATACATACAGAAACTGCAAATAACAAGATAAATTGTAAAATTCCCACGGAAATAAATTATCAAAACAAAATCACCCAGAACCAAGAAAATGCTGTGCTTTAAAAAGAAAATGTTTGTTTTTCTTTTAAATATTCACACTTTTGAATTTTGATATGAAGAAAATTTGATTACCTGGATCTCTACAGTGGTTCCACCAACGAACTGGGTCAAGGTGTTGAGCACCTCATCGCTTAGCCCATACTCCTGAAAAGCCATCCTACAAAATCAAAATATTGTGTAATATAATTAATGAAATAACCATTGCACCTTAAGCACAGATTTAAAAAAATAAAAAATAAAAATAAAAATAAAAAATTCTTAAAGACATCCATATTTTTTTCTCTTTTGACTAGTAGCATCCCCTGTCTTAATTTTTTTCATGGCCAAAGGATCACTCCATTTTCATTGCTAGTGCACCAGGGAATTCACATTAGAGAACACAAACCTTAAGGACTCGTGTGGTTGAACAATGTGTAACACGCTAAACCTATTTATAATTAGTATTAAAGAATTTTTCTCGTAATAATTTACAGCTTTTACCAGCTCAGCATATTAATTAGGCAAACTCAGCATAGTCAAACTATGCTCGGCCAAACAGATTCACGAATTACTTCCAATTCTAAAACATGATTTTCTTCCTTTCTTTTAATTAATGATACAAAATTAATTTTCTCAGACAAGCCATTCAAATCCTGCAACTAAACATGGAAAGAAATATAATTCACGAGATCCCTGTTTCCAATAGATAAGGACGAGACACCATTTCCTAAATATAGAGATATATTCAAATGCTAGAAAGAACGATAGAAATAAATGAGTTTCATATTAATAGAACCATTTAGTGAAGTTCCCAAAAATTGGATTTATAAATTCCATTAACTCAGGTTGCAACATGGGAGCATTACTGTCACAATAAAACATTACCCAGAGAATCAATTTGAAATTCCACCCTAGAAGCTAGATTAGCATCTTAGACAAACTGACCTTAGAATACGGTCTTCCCCCTCAGAATATTCATGCTTCTCCTCCATTTCAGCAAGATCTTCATCACTGTCACTACAGAGGAGAGCCTCACTACCGTGTCGATCATAGTAAATCCGTCTCCTCCCAACCACTGACTGGTCATCAGCCATTTTCTGATTTCTGTTCTTTTTGAAGAAAACTTGAGAAAACAATTGCAAATAAAATCTTTATTTCAAGAAAGAAGAAAAATAAATTGCAAAAAGGCATGGTGAAAATTCACATTGATTTTAAGGGAAAATGAAGGTGTAAATAGTATTATCAGCTAAAAGAATAATATCTAGTAAACCACTGATTCAGCAAGGAAAAATATAGTCATTCAAGATAATAACCCAGTTAATTCGATCTGATATTGCAGGGCCAAATGATAAGTTCTGAATTATAGTTTTCATCATTAACTACTACATATTGATATGTTGATCCATCAGGGAACCTCTTTGGAGTTAGCCATGCTTTTAGTTATTACTAAAGAAAGGGTACAACTAATAGGACATAAAGCTGATGAAATTAAGATCTTAAAGTTTGTCAGAGAATCAGAGGTCCATTCACAATATGCCCCAGGAAGAAATTGGAATCTCAGACTTCTTTCAATTCTCCCCACATACTAGACTTTCTCAATGGTTAATCTGATAACTCATTATTCATGATCGTTTTCATGCTTGCCCACGCAAGAGCTCAGATGAAAGATAGAAATATATAACCCACAAAGAAAAATGAAATAAAGACGAAAAGCATCTGAAATAAATTAAATGGTTAATAATTGATTAGACATGAGAAATTACACGCGGATGACAATTAATCCATTGAATCATTATATCATGTAAATCCAATCACGATCTCCAATCCTGTACCTTGCACCAGCCAATTCTGTATATTATTATTTTATAATGCATCATAAGTCTGCAAAGTGAAAAGAAGAGGAAAATAAAGTTGGCACATGCATGCTTTTTCTTCCAACTCTTCAAATCTTCTAGTCTGATGCTTGGGAATCAATCAAGCAGGCACAAGGCTACTCCGTCCATCCAATTGTATTTGCAACATTGATTTACCAGTCAAGCTGATATTTTATCCAAATGCTATTACGTAATTGAGTTCATATATCGTCTTTGAAGAGCATTATGCAATACATATACCATTTGAAATTTTATAATGCAAAATATTAACATAATATTAGTCAAAGATTTGTCAGGTTCAAGTTGAACTGTAGCAATGTTGCAAAAAGAATGGAACTGAAAGAGTAATATCAGAAGACTGAAACTTAATGTTATGTTCAGACAAAAAAAATATCCTTACCACTTAATTCTCTAACCTATTGAAAGCAAACAGCCTAAGTAAAAGTTTTTTCCCCATGATCTGGGACTTCTGTGCTAACGATAATGGCATCATGGTTCTCAAGTAGAACCACTCATTACTTGCTGAAATTACATACTTGGTGCCAGAATGTATCATGACTAAGATCAAGGTATTCCATATGCTCACACCCACATAATGCTCTCTGTCAATTTGATATATAAAACATGATCCATGCATTATTAGCATTTACGTCTCATCTCAAAATGATGTGAAAAGAGTCATGATATTAAGATTCATATCATCCTGATGGTTCCTGTGATGCTCTATCGAGCAGTATTTCTTCGCATATATAAAATAAACACTGAAACTAAATATTACTAATCCCCCAATATTAAACAAACACGAAAACTAACTATTACGAATTCCCTTCCACGGGAGACACCACCCCCAAAAAAGAAAAGCAACTTCACTTTATATAAAAAGTTGTACAATAAAAGAAAATATGATGATTGTTTACCTGTGTAAGAAAATCCAAGTAGTATAACGAGGTATCTTCTGAATTTTTGGAAGCTTGGCAGTTGCAGAAAATACAAATTCTTCAGTGTTCACATAATCTCTGTCTCCATCTCCGTGAACAAACCCACTAACTTTGGAAAGAGGATTTTCCATACTCAAGGAAAGGGATTTACCCAAATCATTGTTCCTTGTAATGTTAACATCATTCCTTGATGCTGCCAATTTATCAAGCTCAGAAACATAAGCTTCAAGATTCTTTCTGTTTTTCTCCACTTTTTCCTAATAAAATAAGAAGGCAAGAACAGTGGTCAAAGTAACATTATCAACAAATAAAAGAATATATTGGGTAAGCTTAAAAAATGTCAATGTTACTTCAAGATTTGAGAGACCTTTCGATCCCAAGACTTGTTTGGAAAACTAAAAAAATTACTGACATTGAAAGTACCTTGATTAACTCTGACCGTATATTCAAAATAAGCAACTTATTTTCAACTTCGACCAATAAAAAATTATTTATTTTAGCCAAACATGTTCTAAATCTCAAAAAAAAATAAAAATAAATAGGGGAAGGTTTAAAATGCACGTGAACAACATCAATTCTCCTAAGAAATTTGAACTTTAGACACATCATGCCTGTCAACATATAAGGCTCAAGGTTTAAGGAATAATCATAATTTTTAGCATGGCAGTTGAAATTGATCTAGAATATTCATAAGACAAATCCCACTAAATTGCAAAACAAATGTAAAGCCAGGAACTGATTCAAAGTCATTAAGAAACAATAGTGAAACTCAAGCATTAAGAATGACTGATTTCAATTCAATGCCTTAATCTTGCAATCTGATGATATATGGATTTCTTTGTAGAAAAATGAATATAAATATTAGTACACGATAACGGATCAAATAAGAACTATACATGAATACACTAATGTTATCTTTGAAAAATAAAATCAAGAGAGTTCATTTGAAAAAAATATATATATATACTTTAATTGAAACAACTCTTTCTGCTTGAATCTGCTTCTTGAGCTGAGTTAATTTACATGTCAAGTTTCCCACAGCATCACTTCCCTGTTCTCCATGAAATTTCTGTGCAAAAAAAAATAAAAATGAAAACTGAATTAAAATTAAACAAACGTGGCAATCATCATAATTGACAAAGAACTCAATTTCAACAACACTGAAAATTCCACACATCGAATTCACCAGGAAGATACGAGTAAAAATAGTGTATGAGAATCTTCACTTTAGTTAAATAAAAATTTCAATTTGCAGACACTTGACAACTTCTTGAAAGGGATTATTCATGATTTTCCCAATTCCAAATTCCAACCCAAAAAGATATACAGCAACAGTTAAACACTGATCAAAACTTAAATAATAGGAGATATAAAATAAATTCACAAAAAATAAAAATAATCCATATTGTAGATGTGAACAACTGTAAATTGAATTACATGCAAAACAAATTTAGTAGTAAAAATTCAACCAAATCAAGCATCAAGAATGAACAACTGACTTTAGATATTGAAGCAGAATTGCTCGAGTTGGAGACCATTGAATTTTTTCCTTTTTGCCCTTTTCAGTGTTTATTGAATGAATTTAGCTTTACAGAAGTGAAAAGACAGAGAAAGACTGGGAAGAAATTCGACCCGACATGGACCGTATACAGTATATAGAGAGATTTTTTTTTTTTTTTTTTTTTTTTTTTTTTTTTTTTTTTTTTTTTTTTTTTTTTTTTTTTTTTTTTTTTTTTTTACAAGGTGTCCGGGCTTGCGTCCGACTAGATCCTTGTCCCTGAACTTGTGTTGAGGTGCTGGAGAAAATGGTATGAATAGGACGGTTAACCACAATTGGTCCACGTGGCAAAATCTTAGGAGGTCGCATCTTGGTACTGTTAATCTAATATTAACGGACCTGCATTTGAAACCACGATTAAGAATTTATATTTTAATGTATAAATGAATAATATTTGTGGATATATTGAAATAAATTTTGATAAATTATAAATGATATATAAATTTTGTTAAGCAGATGATAAAGTACGGCCCAATTTTAAATTTATTTTACTTTACTTGACTGAATAAGAATAAATTTAATGGTATTTATGTGCTAGTATGAATTTTATTTTGGATGGTTATATTTTCATTACAATTTTTATTTGATACATCACATTTTAATTGTAATTAAATTCCTCAATTTCTGCTCATTATAGCAATTATTTACTTAATTTTTGTTGTCGAATTCTTATTTTCAACTTTTCATTAATTAGTAAGTCTCGTCCTTAATGATGATTTATATCAATATATTTTATTTTCATACTTTGAAATGAGGAAAAAATATTTTTTCTACTTTTTATTTATTTTTTTTAAAACATATGATAGAAAAATAACTTGTTCTTACGATGTATCAACGGACTTTTAAATATAAAATTATTATCAAATACAAAATGTATTAATTAATAAAAAGTTTAGGGATAAGAATAATATGATAAACCATTATGGAAATATGTGCTGAGCAAAAATTAGGAACCTCCTTAAGTGTAATTAAAATGTGGTGTAAGAAAATAAAAATTGTAGTGTGAGTATAATTACCCTTCTATTTTCTTAATAATGTTATATGTACACCTTTCGCGACAACTTGGTTAACATTCTCCCAACGTGGAGGATATTTTTGCAGTCATATGATAGATGAGTTCAAAATTAAGAGTGTAAAAGTTGCCATTTTAACTGTTAAAAAAAAAAAGGTATAAGGAAGAGTGTAAATGTAGTAAGAAGGTTATTTTTTATACCGTACTTTTAAATTTTTTTCTATTTACTAAAATGACCCGAAGTAAATTGACTTAAACAACCACTTCATATCCACTTATTTTTTCCCTATCTTTTATTATTAAGTACACCACAAAATACAAGACATATGAATATGTAGGGATAGTTCGAATTGTTAAAAGTCTAAAATTTCAAGAAATTATTGATTTCTTAGTGAGTGAAGTAACATAGATTAATTGATTCAATGGCTTTAATTCTAAGAAAGACCAAATCTTTGATAGAGAACAACTTATAATATAAGAAAAATTAACCTCATAAAGGAAAAATGATTTCACTTTCTTCCCCCATCTTTAACAATTACTCACTATTTTTTACAACAAGAATCCCTTACTCTCATGTAAATGCCCCCTAATAGTCATAATCAAAAGTTAATACATACAAATAGGAAAATTACTTAAAGCTAATAATTTTTTCTCATATTTTTCTTCATTTTTGTTGGCTTTTTCCATTCTTTTCTTTTGTTTTTCCTTTAAATTAAGGCTTAATTTGTTCTGTTTGTTATCATTGTATCGACCAAACATTGAAAACGAATAAAAAGAAACATTTCATATAAAGACTTTGCATCAAAAACATTATTTTTCGGAAATGCGAAGCAGCCACCCTTTTTGGAAGCTTAATGACAGAAGTACATAATTTTTAGAACAAAAAAAAACAAGGTTCTGCCTACTTAAGGCTACTGAAAAGTGAAAACTCTTTCAGCATCCCACTAAATTTGGGGGATTAGAGAACCAAACTTGAGGAATTATGCAAAGAACCTAGAGCAAATATTAGATGGACAAAGAACTTTTTGATCTCTGTCCGTTGAACTTCCAAGCAGAAAGTGAAAACAGTGGAGTTCCTTTCCAACCTACAAATAGACACTTGCTATTTGCATCCAGAGTGCAAGATTTCCCACAATTAAACAGATCAACAATTAAGCAAGCTTGATATGCAGATGCTGTGCTAAGTTCTAATTCCACCAATCCAAACCTGGCAAAAAATGCTCTCCACACACTAATAGGCACATTTCTAGTCACCCTTTCACACCCTTCCGCTGCAACAATGCTATGGATTCCCTCACAATATATCACTGATTCGATTTCCATTCTGTTCTTGTTGTCCTGTGCCATGCCTTCTGCAATGCTATCAAGTAAAGCAGTATAGTAGAATAGTGACTCAATGAAACGATTCACGAATGAAGGAGAGTTGTGTTTGGCTTCTACTTCAGAAACCAACATTATTGATGGATTGATCCTTCTCATCACTGTCATTAGATTCTTCAAACAGATGGACTTTGAGATCATAGTCCTGAGCATGAATCGAGCATTAACGGCTACAGCTTCCTCAGGTTCAATGTCAATGTTGCCTTCTTTGAGATCTTTCATGTCTCATAGAAAAACCTTGTATGAAAAGGCAAAGTTGAAGTACCCAGCAAAGTTTTGTAACCTCTTCCCTGTTTTCTCCGAACTCAATTTGTCAATAGTTTCAACAGCCGTTATTTTTAGCTGTACAATAGGATTTGGAATCCGTTCTGCAATACCTTGCATAAGACTGCCCATTGTAACCCATTAGTGATTTGGAAATCAATTAAGTGAACATTTGATTTCTTGTAACATTTTCCAAGATGGTCTGTACTGCAGTGAATTGCAGAACTTGAGTGTAGGGAAGTTCTTGATTCAATGCCACGAATGCAAGGGCCTCTCTTTTCAGACAGGCAGTTTCACCTGTTTCATTCTCTCTTGAAGTACTTCCTCTTTCCTACTTAATTCTCTCCAAAAGTGCTTCAGCAAAATAATGGATGCTTCTTCGAATTGGAGTACTTGCACTAGATGCTATCCATTGGCAATTACCAAGCAATCTTCTTGCTTGGTCCAATTGCTTGTAGCCCACTTTCTCAGCTGCAGCTAGAAGAAGCTGGGCAACTTCCACATCTTGTTTATCTTGGGTAGACAGATTCGACAGAGAAGAATTATACAGATGCATAAATATGTTCAGATTGATAAATTTTTGAGAGGAAAACTTCACAAATCTTTCTCCCACCAGCCTCAGAAATTGCTCAGTTGATAGTTTCTGCCTAGCTTCAGTACTTGCAAAACATTTTTTTCTATTTCCTTGGAGAATTGCTGATATGATCTAAGGAATCTGGAAAAAAAAAAAACGACTCCATGGACTCTTTGTTATCAGTTGGAGGTAATAGCCCAGTTTGGGCATTCTCAAGCGGTGGAATTGGTAGAGCTGATGAACATCCAAGTGATCCAACGTTTTGGCTACGTAGTACTTGTTGATTTTGTCGTTCCTGCAGCTTTTGAGCCTTTGACTTGCATAGCAACTCATTGGAATTCTCATGTAAGAATTCATAGTTATTAAAAAAAGAATCAATATCTTTCCAGTATGCCGTATCTGTTAATCCGTTGTGTTTCCCTTCATTTGAGATTGATATCCAAGAATATCTGACAGAATTACCACCTCCTTCAATTTGTTTCAAAAATTGGAGGAGGCTAACTTATCGAAAGGATTAGCCATCTCAGAGCATAGACCATTGTATTATTTATAATTATCCTTTATGGTTATAATAACCATGTATGTTCGTAATTGTAAGCATCCTAGATGTATGCTCATATATATATATATATATATATATATATATATACATGATCAAACGCGGAAGTTTGGACTATCGAATTACCTCCGGCCATTGTTGACATGAAAACCTTTCAGAATCGAAAACGTAGCTGCTGTTCTACGAGTTTGAGAGCTTACAATGCCTCCTTCCAACCTCTGAATGATGGTGTAATATAAACGAGTAGATGGAATGACATTAGGGATCCAAACAATGTTTCTTTTATAAGCTCGGTCCATCACCGATTCTTTTTCGTAATTGTAGGCATTATGGACCATTCACAGCAACTTCCAAATTGGCCAGACTTATTATTGGAAGTGCAAATCATTGATTAATGGAAGATTTAGGCCACACACACGGTTTTCCTTAATTAGAAATGGAAGATTTCCACATTCTCCCACTTGGCCTAATATATTCCATTATTTCCTATAGTAAGAAACAAATGCATGAATCATGGTGATATTTCCTCTTAGAATGAGAATTATCTTCCTTACATCACAATGTATTTTGTATCTTAACTTTAGTCCATAAAACTTAATGAATAAACCCTATATTTATTCTAGGTCCAAACTTAATTGATATTTCTCTAACAATGAATAAATGTGCATAAAACAAATATGAGAAATTATCATTATTGAATTAGAATTTCAGAAAATAACATGGTCACATACAATGAAATCAAACTAAAAGACCAAGTCTCATACGGTCTACTAGATCCTTGAACTTGAATGGTGGCATGTCTTTCGTCAAAGGATCGGCAATCATCAATTCAGTTTTTATGTGCACAACGACGATTGTTTTGTCTTTAACACGTCTCTTATGGCTAAATATTGAATGTCGATATGCTTGCTTCAACTACCACTTTTGTTGTTTTTAACCATAAAAACTAGAGCTGAATTGTCACAATATAACTTCAATGGCCTAGAAATAGAATCTACATTTCCAAGTCCAGAAATGAAATTCTTCATCCATACACCATGCGATGTAGCCTCAAACTGCTTTGCACTTCTCCATGATACAACTCCACCAGCAAACATGAAAATGTATCCAGATGTTGATTTTCTTGAATCAACACAACAAGCAAAATCTGAATCAGAGTCGCCAATTACCTCCAAATTATCGGTTCGTCTGTACATAAGCATGTAATCCTTCGTCCCTTGAAGGTACCTTAGAATTTTCTTTACAATTCTCCAATGGTCCATACCTGGATTACTTTGATATCTTCCCAACATTCCAATAGCAAATGCAATATCTGGCCTTGTGCAGACCTGAGCATACATTAGGCTTCCAACAACTGAAGCATATGGAATGTTCCTCATTTATTCCCTTCAAAGTCATTCCTTGGGCATTGATTCAAATGGAACCTATCACCTTTTACTATGGGAGCTATACTCGGTGAACAATATTTCATCTGAAATCTCTCTAAGACCTTATTGATATAGGTTTCTTATGACAGACCCAAAATACCCCTATATCTGTCTTTATAGATCTTTATGCCAATGACATAAGATGTATCACCCATATCCTTTATGTCAAAATTTTTAGAAAGAAATTGCTTTACCTCGTGTAGCAAACCTATATCATTGGTTGCAAGTAAGATATCATCCACATATAGAATAAGAAAACAAATTTTACTCTCACTGACCTTTTGGTAAATACATTGATCCATAATGTTTTCTACGAAACCAAATGAAGAGATAACATCATGAAATTTTAAATACTATTGGCGAAAGGCTTGTTTTAGTCCATATATGGATTTCTTAAGCTTGCATACCAAATCCTCACCATTACCAGAGAAGAATCCTTTTAGTTGTTTTATATACACCTATTCCTCTAATTTTCCATTGAGGAAAGTCGCTTTCACATCCATCCGTTGCAGCTCAAAGTCAAAATGTGCGACTAATGCCAAAAGAATGCGAAGAGAATCTCTCTTTGATAGAGAGAAAAAGTCTCCTTGTAGTCGATCCTTCCTTTTGAGTAAATTCCCTGGCTATGAGTCTTGCTTTATATCTTTCAATGTTGCCAGATGAGCCCTTCTTTGTTTTAAAGACCCACTTACATCGTATGGCCTTTGTACCATTTGGCAACTTGACATGATGCCAGACTCCGTTGGATGCCATGGAATTCATTTCATCTTTCATGTCATTATACCATAAATCATATTCTTTGCAATCCATGACCTGTGAAAACGTTTCACGATCATTTTTTACTCAAAAACCATTGTCCACTTCTTCTAAATACACGACATAGTCACTTGAAATTGTTAATCTTCTTCCTCTTGTAGATCTTCTTAATGTTGGTTTAACATTTTCCTGAGGGCCATGTTGTCCAACTAGTTGTTCAACCATTTCTGGCATTTCCTGAATAACTTGATCTACAGAATTATCATTAGTAGGTTGTGGAACTTCATCAACCGATTGTACAACACCCGTTTGAACTAAAGGAGTGTTGTTGGTAATAACCAATCTTTCGCTTAATGTGGAAGATTGACCTCTTCCAGAGACTATTTTCTGAAATTGATCACTCCCACTTATTAAGTCATTTTCAAGAAACTTTGCATTTCTTGATTCCACAATCCTAATCCTGTAAGATGGACAGTAAAATCTATAACCCTTAGACCTTTCGACATATCCAATAAAATACCCACTAATAGTCCTTGGGTCCAATTTCTTCTCTTGTGGATTATAAACTCTTACTTCATATAAACATCCCCAAATGCGCATATGTCGCATACTCGGTTTCCAACCCTTCCAGAGTTCAAAAGGCATCTTAGGAACAACCTTCGTTGAAACTCGATTCAATATATACACAACCGTTTTAAGAGCTTCAGTCCACAAGGATTTAGGAAGCTTGGAACTGCTAAGCATACTTCGCACCATGTCCAATAATGTTTGATTTCTTCTTTCTGACACACCATTTTGGTCCGGAGAACCAGGCATAATGTATTGGGCAACTATCCCATTCCCTTCAAGAAACTTCGCAAACAGACCAGGTGCTTGTCCATTTTCAGTGTATCTACCATAATATTCTCCATCTCTATCTGTTATCACGATCTTTTTTTGTTTACTGCATTGTTTCTCTACTTCTGCCTTAAAACTTTTGAAGGCATCCAATGCTTCGCTCTTGTTATTAAGCAAGTAAAGATACATATATCGTGAATAATCATCTATGAAAGAGATGAAGTATTTTGGACCATGAGCGTCCATGTCTGGACAACAGATATCTGAATGTATGATTTCCAAGATGTCTATACACCTCTTGGCATCTTTCGTTGACTTGTTGGTCTGATTTCCCTTAATACAGTCAAAGCTTCAAAATCAGCAAAATCCAAAGTACTACGTTCTCCGTCATTTACTAATCTCTTAATTCTATCTATGGAGATATGTTCCAATCTTCAATGCCACAATGTAAAGGAATTTTCATTCATAATACAACGTTTATTACCAGCGTCAACATGCATAACATTATTAACAGTACTATGTTGTAAATTAATAGAGAAAAAATCATCAGACAAAATATCATTCCCAACAAGATCAGATTTATAAAACAAACTGAAAGATGTATCTGAAAAAGTAAGGAAAAATCCCAAAAGTACAAATCTTGAAACTGAAAAAAATTTCTAGAAAAACTTGGAACATAAAAGTTCTTTTCCAATTCTAAAACATAGTCATTATTTAAAATTAAATTGTATGTTCCAATAGCCTCCACATGTGAACCCATCTTGTTTCCTGATAAGATGTTTTGCTCACTTCCCACTGGTTTCCTTAGATTTCGCATACCCTGCAAGGTATTTGAAATATGGATTGTATTACCAGAATCAATCCACCATGTATTATGATTAACATCAACAATATTATATTCATAACAAACAAGAGAGATTGATTTACCTTTATGCTCAAGCCATTTCTGAAATTTGGTGCAATCCTTCTTCATGTGTCCCTTCTTTTTACAGAAGAAGCATTTATTTTCTTTCTTGATTTCACCTTGGGGTGGTATTTTACCTTTCCCCCTTTGTTTGGTTTGGTTCTGATTCTTCCCTTGGTTTTAGTCCCTTTCACGTGTTACTAATGATGCATTCTCACCCATTTCCATAGCTAGCCTTCCTTCATCTTGAACACACATGATCAGAAGTTCATTGATTGACTATTTGTCCTTATGCGTGTTATAAGAGATTTTGAAGGGTCCATATTGATGCGGAAGAGTGTTCAATAGTAGTGCACAAGGAACGAATCAGACGTTTCAACCTCCAAAGTTTTCAACTGAGCCGCAATGTCCCTCATCTGCATGATGTGCTCACGCACACCTCTCACACTGGTGAGTCTTAAGAATGAAAATTTCATTATCAAGATACTAGCAAGTGCTTTATCTAAAATCACAAATTGTTCATCAATAGCCTTCAGTAACGCCTTAACATTGTCATGTTGATCCACGGAACCTTGAACACAGAAGAGATTTTAGTTTTTATGAACATCACATTAAGGCGAGTAGATCGTTCCCATTGTTTATAAACAGTCCTTTCTTTTGGAGTGCTGGTTGCAATAATAGTTGCTTTGTCCTTCCTGATAGCATAATCAATGTCCATGCACCCTAAATGAAGGAAAATTCTCTCCTTTCACATCTTATAATTGTCCCCTTTCAGTTCGGGAATGTCACACTTTATATCAGAAAAATTTGCAGATTGCATGACTGTAAAAAATTAAATATACATACTTATATTACATAAATTTGAGATCAATAAGGTCATATCATATTTTACCAATGTAAATTATGTTCCAAAAATTATAAATTTACTGACATAAAACTTGCCTGTGGGTTAAAATTTTAATTCAATTAAATTCACCTATCTTTATGATAAGACTATCAAATTATGTTCCTTTTCTCAATTCCTGTGGGTAAATTAAGAATTATAATTTGATATTTTACCTTAATTAATCATACAAATATAATAAAATTCCTGAGACATAAAATTATTATATAAAATATGATCGATTACAATATATATCACTTTCCCATATATAATCCTAAACAACTAAATATATACAGTTTGCATAATTAAAGATGTTGTGACTAATCTCTAATTACAAAAAAGTATATGGATCACTAGACATTTAGTTTATTCTAAAATTTGTACTGACATGAATTGCATATATCAATGGGCAATATACAAGTAAAGTGGCCAATAACAACACAATGTTTGTAGCAAAATTTTTGGATTATTTGTGCAATTTGGAAGGTGCAAGGCCCAAAAGTGAACTTACTGCTCAAGCCATCTTGTTGAAGTTCATCATCCATAGAAATATATAAAACTATTCATAATAGATGTTAAGTATTCCATTTAATTATTTGATAATCGTAAATTTGGTTTGGGCCACAAAATATCCAAAATGTTCATCTTTTCTATTGGCTAAGCAATCAGTCAATTGGGCCAAACCATTTCAATATCCAAATACTTGGCCTGTATAGGTCATCCCTAACCTTCAGCCGGGTCTTTCATCCCTGTTCAACCAGTTCATGCTACAGCTATGAAAATAAATTATTTCTCACGGTTCTGACCATTAAATTGGAAGGTTTGAATTGTAGAATTTCTAGAAATCAAATTCCTAAAGATTTTTAAACCCAAACACTACAATTATCCAGAAAAACACGTAGAACAGAATCCTTAAAAACAAGGCAGAGATCAATTCGGCTCTGATGCCAACTGTAAGCATCCTAGATGTATGCTTATATATATACCCATTGGTGAGATTGGTCCCGTTCCTTTGTTCTTTGTCCAGCTACTCGATGAATGAAGATGGAATCAGGGCTAGTTCTCTCAGTCCCATTCATGATCAAATAAGATCCCAAAAGAATGAACAAAGAATGAAAGACAGCATCGTGTATCGAAAGGGATCCATGTTCAAGTAATTGGTGTCAAAAGAAATGCTTTATGGTCTATGAAGATAGGTTTGTTTCTGTCTTTCTTTCCTAACTAATAGGAAAAGAGAGAGAGATAGGAGTTCAACTCTTGTTCTATCCATGTTCAGCAGTCCTTGTCCATGTTGAAACTATTGATGGCAGTACCGCTCAACTACGAGATGCTTGAAAGTCGATGTATCAATGTTCCCAAGAGTAGCATCGAGCCCCAAAACGGCAAGCCATGCTTCAAGCTAAGTCAGTCGAATCTAATTGATAGCTAAACTGAAGGAACGATCTCTGTCGAAGATTCTCATTCTAAAGCTGGCCTATAACCTGCCTAGCTCTCTTCTTTTGGAAGGATGGGATCATACCTATTGAAGAAGGCTTTGGGAACGCGACATTTGAGCGAAGACCTTACTTATGCGAGAAGTTGCGCTAAGGGAGTGGGGAAAGAAGCTTACGATTTTTTTAGTGTGTGAGGTGGCCCCGAGAGCTGAACCAAAGCCGACCATTTCGAGACCAGATATACTAACTATAAACATGATCAAACACGGCAGTTTGGATTATCGAATTACCTCCAACCATTGTTGACATGAAAACCTTTCGAAACCGAAAACGTAACTACTGTTCTACGAGTTTGAGAGCTTCCAATGCCTCCTTCCAGCCTCTGAATGATGGTGTAATATAAACGAGTAGACGGAATGGCATTAGGGACCCAAACAATGTTTCTTTTATAAGCTCGGTCCATCACCGATTCTTTTCCGTAATTGTAGGTATTATGGACCATTCACAGCAACTTCCAAATTGGCCAAACTTATTATTGGAAGTGCAAATCATTGATTAATGGAAGATTTAGGCCACACACACAGTTTTCCTTAATTAGAAATGAAAGATTTCCACAGTAATAAGATGTTAGGTTTGAGAATATAATATATGAAAGGACAAGCTACAACTATGAATCTATTATTGTGACAAATTTTGAGAAGTTCGTTCTGAAATAATTAAATACATCGGATGTAAATTAAATTAATATAAAAATGATGATCGACAGCTATTTTGTATACATTCCCATCATTTTGTAAACAACAATGTTTTTTGTCAGCATACTTTCGCTTCAACTTTGTTGAGAAATTCAGACATATTGGACGTACTGACAAAGCTATAAGGGCCAAAGGAACAAAAGAGATTTTTACCTGTTACCACTGAATTAAGGCAAAATAATAAATTGAACGGCTAAGCATCCTATGACTACCTTCAATAATATTATTTTTCCTCAATCATATATTTCTTCTTCAGCACTTATTCTATGCGAATTTCCAAGAGGTTAGGGAATGGATTGGTGTTCCTTTCCATCCAACAACCATTCCCTTCCCATTATGTTCAAGAGTGCAGGAGCTTCCATATACAAAATGGTTGAGAACTAAATTAGCTTGATACCAAGATGACTCGCTGAGTTCAATTTCGATCATTCTAAATCTTTCAAAAAATGCCCTCCACACATCAATTTTTACATTTCGAGTGGTTCTCTCCTGACCCTCAGTTGCAACTGTGTTCAGAATCCCTTGATTGAAATAAATCCCTTCAAGATTCATTCTGTATTGGCTGCTTCGCTCCGAGCAATCTTCCAAGCAATCGAAATAAGCACTATAAAACAAGAGTGCCTCAATGAAGCGATCCATGAATGAAGGAGAATTGTGATTTGCCTCTACTTCAATTACGACCATTAGGACAGGCCTAAGCCTTCTTATTGCTCCCATTACATTTTCTATGCAATCGGGCCTTGACACCATTGACCTCAACATCAGAAAGGAGTAAACAACCACAGTTTCATCAGCTTCAACATTTAAGAGATCTTCCTTGAAGTTTCTCATGTCTGTAAGACATACGGCCTTGAATGAGAAAGGAAAATTCAAGGACCTGGCAAAGCTCAGCAATCTCTGGCCAGTTTCTTCAATATAATGTTGATCGGTTGTTCCGACTGCAGTTATTTTAAGATGCTTGATAAGGTGCTCATGCCGCTTTGAAAGTCCTTGCATCAGAGCTGTCCATTGAATTCCACTCCTTATTTGAAGATCAATCAAATGGATCTTGCTATCTGTTTTCACATTTTCAATTATGCTTTGTATTCCAGCAAATTGCACCACTTGTGTGAAGGGCAGTTCTTTGTGGGATGCCAAGAATGTTACGTTCATTTCCAAAGCAAGGCTCTTTACGGGGTTCACTAGTTGCTTTGTTTTCTCAGTCATGATTCTCCTAGTTTCTCTATGCATTCTCTCTCGAATAGCTATTGCAAAATAATAGGCAATGCACTGGATTGGAGTGCCTGAATCAAACGCCATCGGGAGGCAACGAGTAATCATTTTACTTGCAAAGTCAAAATGTTGATAGCCCACATTTTCTGCAGCTACAAGGAGAAGATATACAAGTTCCACATCCCTTGCTTCCTCTATGGAAAGGCCTGAGAGAGAAGAGTCGTAAGGGTGGATAAACATGGAAATACCATCTTCATTGTTAATAGAAAATTGGATAAACCTTTCTCCAGCCACCCTCAGAATTTCCTCCATTGTTAATTTCTGGCCAACTACATTATTCTCACTTCTCAAATTATTGAAAGTCTCTTCACTTGTTTTTTTGAGACCCCTTTCGTAATGGGGCTGGAGCTCCACTGATGCTGAGGAAAATGATAATACCTTATCCTTAAGGGATTTACCAAGTTCAAAAACTTGTGATTGAACTTCAAAGGGCATGATCATGTGGTCATTCTGCTTACAATTATCTGGTTGTTGATTTCGGAACAATTCAAATTCCTCCTCCATGGTATTCTCTTGACAAGATCCATCTTGACAAGATCCATAAATAGAAGAAAACAAATCCATAAATTCACAATCTTCCATATCAAACAATGGATCTTGTTGACTCTTGGTAACTACTGCCTCTTTTCCAGACCCGATAAGGGGATCGCAATCATCCTGAGTATCACTGAAATGAAATGAGGAGAACAATGTTTCCGCCATTCACAGTCACACACACACTATTATCAGACACTTAGCGATCATTAATCAAGCTATCTCCAACCAATGTAAGTGGCATACTACAAGGAATTCTCTTTATGCATTTCTTTCAACTCAGAGGAAGAAATTGAAGATGAAGCTGATGTGCCCATTGCGGGGACAAATGCATTTATTTAAATAAAGGCAATCATCTAGGCCATTTCATATATTTTAATCCAAGAACAAGTTCAGCCAAATAAACAGGACAATAGTATGTAATTAATTAAAGAAAAATATTATTTGAAGAAAGAAAGAAAGAGCAGACAAATAGAGGGTAACAAATGAAGACAGATGGGGCACGATTGGTGAACAAGAAATACTCATAGAGCAACTGTGAAATATTCTGATATGGGAATAGGAAAATAAACTAATTCATATAATCTTAATATGTACATATCAAATTCATTATCTATTTTTCCATAACGGAACTTTCATAAATAGGTCAGGAGCTTTGTCTACTTGTACTGCGTTGAACTAATTCTCCAAAAAATTTTGTTTCCTTTCTCTGACCAATTGTTCTCTTTCTTTTTCTTCATTCCTTCTGGAATAAGTCACGTGTCCTCATATATGATTGTGCTGATTGATAAGAATTCAAAAATTATATGCATCCATTTTTGGATTCTCACGTCTCTTTTAACTTTCACATTAAGCGTGAATTAATATTGACAGAATGAAGTACAAACATACATACAATATAAACAAGAAATGACAAAGTTATATACTTCGAATTAACGATGAAATGGCTTATTACCTTACCTTATAAGCGACAAAATGTCTCTCATCTTACATTTTCCCAATGGAAGATGGGGTAGGCTGGAGGCCAATCAAAATGATGGATTTATCAATGCGTGTTCTTTATTCCAATTATTTTTACAGTTATTAGTTTAAAAAATGGTATATTTTCAAAATGACCAAGGTGAAAAGGCAAGTTCATTTACTTTGTTAACTTAAAAGGTCTTCTCTGTAGATTAAACATCCACGGCAAAAAAAAATCTACTACTTTCAAGTGCAGTGAATTAAGATGGTGATAGTATACAAATTTTCAGAGAATTTCAAATTTTTATTTCCTTGAGAAGAAGCAAGGACGGGATATATTCGAAGTATGTTTGGTGGAGATAATAAATTATCAAATGAAAAATGTCAAAATCACACTGCAACTCTATATTCTTAATACTTCTCATTTGGCAAATACAATGATGAAGAACCCAAGAAGAAAAGTGAGATAAGTCATGGATGAGGATGGCCTTCACTCTACAAATTCCAAGTCCACCAGAAACTCATGCATCCAAGAAAAAGTTCATTCTACTCGAATGTTCATGTGTTACATGTAGTCTTTTTGGGTCTAAAATCATTTATCTTGGTTATCTTAAATCGTGTTATTTAACATCTTCCAAAATTTCTTGATTTTCTAGGGGTGGCTCAAGACTGGATTTAGAGCTAAAAGAAAGGCTTAAACTAGATTTGAAATATTTCCAGAAATTTTTCTGAAGGGATTTGAACTCCTGTATCAAAAGAAATGGAGAAGTTCAATGTATTGGAACATCTATTCAAAAATTTTTGCTGAAGAAGGAATCTGAGTGGCACAAATCATGAAAACCCCATATTACTTGTAGAAAAATGACAATAAATTAGTGAAAAGTAAACACCAAGTTTATTGTTGTTGATCTGCAGCAGCTGCAAGTGGCTGTAGAGCTTTGAGTGGATTCAAGATGACACCGTCTATAAGCCCGTATTCTTTGGCTTCTTTAGCACTCATGAAAAAGTCACGATCAGTGTCTTGGTTTATCTTCTCTAAGCTTTGACCAGTGTGATATGCCAGGTAACCATTTAAGTTTGCTTTGTGATGCAACATTTCATTAGCCTGAGTAACAATTCATAATAAATATGAACTATGAGGAAACATTTTTTTCCAGACACGAAACCAATATATTTATTTTTCCCCCAAAAGAAACAGATAACAAATCAAATTTCTCAGCAATGCCACGTAAAAAATGCAGTGTAATGGAGAAACCAGAACATACTCAATTGCATGATAGAGATTAAAAATTTACTTCTTTTTCAGAAATAATATAAATGGAGTTTCAGAAAGTGCAATTCTGGGATATTTTTGTAAAGGAGATCTCAATAACAAAGAACTATAGCAAAAAACCAAGCCCCTGAGCTCCATTCAGATTCGTTTCAACTGAAACTCATTTGACATAATTCCGCTCATAAATTAATCCTAGCTAGAATTTAAAACACGGCTCATTAAAAAATCAAGCAAAGCTTGAAATAGCCTAGAACCTATAATTTGATTAGGGTGCTACTCTAGTTTGTAACTCCAACTAAAGATGACGAAGAATTTAATAATTCATCCCCGATTCTAAAAATTATTCCACGATCCATAGATGTTCATAAGAATACAACAACAGATTTATTGCTTTCCACTCTGATATTATGAGCATACCTTAAAAAAAAATTTATAAAATAACAGTCAAATACCTGAATATCTATGTCAGTCTGCCCACCCTGAGCTCCACCAAGTGGCTGATGGATCATTATCCTTGAGTTGGGAAGGCTATACCGCTTTCCTGTAGTAAGCATCAGAAAAAAGGTAGAGTAATTTCAGTAACCACAAAAGCGGCAATAGAATGTTATAACCACTTAAACCAACCAAATATTACCTTTAGTACCGGCACTCAGTAGAAAAGCCCCCATGCTGTACGTGCATTACGAAATGAACTCAGAATTAGTTGAGACGTGATAATTCTTTCACAGGATGATGAAAATATGAACCCCATGAAAGCATCTATCAAGAGCAGTAAGGAGTACCTCGCAGAAATATAAGCCTGAGTACTGGCTAAAAATATTATTTGATGGAAAATACAGTATAAAACATGAAAAAATTGAAGCTGGTCAAGAATCTTTGCTAAATATCATGATATCTTCTATTTTATTCCATGAACTGGTGATGCATGTGAGAAACTAAAGATATAGTATGATATAACCTCACAGAAACTCGCTTCTACAAAACTACAAGACCATTTTTAAAAAAATCGTAAACATAGATAGCAGCAGCTTGCCTGTTTATTTTAACTTATTAACAGTTCATAAAACTGCAATAAATAATTCCATCAAGAACGAACAAAATAACTGCAATTTGCACCAAATCATATACAAGAGTAACAATATATCTTTACCTAGCTGCAAGTCCAACACATACGGTTGAAACATCAGGTCGGATATGCCTCATTGTATCAAATATGGCCATACCTAACGAGACCAGAGGAAGCAGATTAGAAATATGAAAAATAAATAACATAAATAATGGGGACAATGGAAAGACAAATTACCAGCAGTAACCGATCCTCCTGGAGAGTTCACATACATGACTATATCCTGTTAAATTATCATGACACATTAATGCTAAATTATTTTAAATTATCATTTGTAACTGAGGGAGACAACTGAAGCACAATCGTAACCATACATGGATGTTTGTGTGCATACAATAACAATTAACATCTATGTCAATTCCATGAGATCAAAAATTTGATCACAAAGCAGGTTAGGAGAAATCACGCTGCCAACATTATTACATAGTCGTCTATTATATAATTATTTCAGTATGTGTAATATAGCAATTAGCATATTAGTAGCAAAAGATTTTGCAAAATGTAATTCTACATCAACAACTCAGATTGGAAGTATTAAAACTTTGTATTGTTGACATGACAACAGGAAGTCTTAAATTCCTAAAACTGTAATCTAATTACTGCAAAGAGATCTTAAGTTTCAACCATGCAACCTTATAGCACAATATCACTCTCCTAGGAGAAACAGTGGAAAGATTTGTTAGGTTAATTACGTATTGCAAAGAAATAGTAAGCAAGACATACATGTTGTACTGAAGATATTTATCTATAACTGTAATAGTAATGAATCAAATTCAAGAAAGAAGCAAGCTCTAGTTAAGCTTCTAATTAATTTCATAATTCATGTAAAATCATAATCATCTTACTTAAACATGCCTATTTCTGTGCTTGTCATGTGCACATGTACAAGTATGACCTTTAAAGACGACAATTCAAACTAATTGGACCAAAAATATTAGAACTTTGATGAATGAAAGAGAAGAAGAACGTTCGAGGGTTATAAAATATACCTTGGTAGGATCAACAGCATCAAGATAGAGTAACTGAGCTACAATAATGTTGGCCATGTCATCATCTACTGCTCCGCCACATCGTATTATCCTCTATAATAAATCAACTTCCAATTTAACATCAATAAAGGCAGACAAGTCATACTTCAAAAGTTCAATTCAAGCAATATTGACTTACATATTGAAAAAGCTGACTTATAACACTCATGAAACGCTCCTGAACCATCGGAGGTGGTCCCTGTCCCCCTTGCCCATATGCTGGGAAGTATGGCGATGAAGGAACTTGTAAATCATCCCTAAAGATTTTTCAAACTCCATAAAGACGTAAAAGTCAAATAATTTATACAACTAAATTCATTTTCTTCTCCTTTTCTCATGATTTGAGGTAACTGGAGAAAGAAAAAGTACCTCATCGACCAAATTCCCTGGCGCGAGCTATAATCCGATGCATAGAACTCCGGCGCATAGACAGCCTTCACTAAAGATTTCTGGGGATTTGATTTTCTCAATTTCCTGTAAAGATTAAACAAAAGATTAAGTTTGGTAAAATACTTGACAAAGTTATGGCGTAAAAATGATGATAAGGATAGGACCTGGCGCAAAGGGGTTGGAAGGGGAGAGAGAGGGATTTGAAGGAGGAGGAAACGAAGGAGCTAGGGTTTGGCGTAGAGAGAGAAAGGGAGGAGGAATTAAATCCGAGAGAAGAGGACACGCATGAATGCGCCATTGTGCTCGAAGCTGAGCAGAGGCTTATCCAATTGACGGCGGCGAGTGTAAGAGCTGGCTGGGAAAGTATTTCGGGAAACCCTTTTTTCTGATAAGTGGGTTACAAATTACAAAATTATAGACGTCTCGTATTATTAACTATTACAAAGTAATCCATTTGAAGAGTCAAATTTAATTAAAATAAAGTGATAATTATCAATGTTTTGAAAACCGGATCGGACCGGTCGGTACAACCGGAAAAACCGAAAATCGGACAAAAATCCTGTCCGATTAATGCTTGAAACTCGTTTTACTCAAAACCAGGGAAAACCCCATTTAATTGTCCGGTTTAATGATTAACCGTTGACCCGTAACCATTTTATCCGATTTTCCCGGTTTTTAAATTGTATAAGCTACTCAACTTTTAACCCACTAATTAATAGGCCCAGAAAATCTGTTGTGCACATGTTGGCCCACCCATTTATAGGCATCATTTCTAGTGCTTCATTTAAAAGATTCCGATGTTGGATATAATTTGGCGTTTACTGTGTGCAACTGTGCATTACACTTGTGTAGTCATGTGGTAGATTTTGATGTGGGATCTACTATGATACTGTTTAGTGTTTATATATATTTTATAGTTAATTATTTTATTGAGTTAATTAATCTTTTTTAACCTTTAATTATTAAAAAATTTGAACTCTTCTAACATTTAACAGTATCATTATCTATTCTTATTTTAGTTTTTAAATTTTTTTTTTCACTACCGGTTCAACCTTTCGACCCTTGACCATTTTGCTTTTCCGGATCGATGACCAGGTCGGTTTTCAAAACATTGAATAATTATAATTGCAATCGAAAATCTCTAAGGCCCCGTTTGATTGCACGAAATTTTCCATGGAACTTGGAATTTGAATTCCAACTTCCACTTTTGGCCTGTTTGATTGACAAAATTTTCCAGGGAATTGATTTTCCATGAATTTCTAGGTACAACACCTTAAAGCGTGATTTTCCACCTTTTTTTTCCTAGGGGATAGGTGGTTTTTGGTTTTCCACCTTTTTTTTTTTTGGCTTTTTTTATTTTTTTTTAATTGTTGGCAATGGGAACAAATTTTAGGAATAATTGTAAAAGATGATATCCCTGAAATTGACAATTTCCACATAAAACAAAGTCAAACGAACATCAAAAAATACTTTTACTTCAACATTTTCCACGTGAAAAATTTATACAATCAAACACAATAATTTACAATTTCCATAATTTACAATTTCCTTGGAATTCATTTTCTTTCCATGTAATTTTCCTACTTGTAATCAAACGCACCCTAATTTCTTTTATAAATTTTATTCTCTCTCTTCTTTTTTTTTTTTTGGGTATCACCCACAACTTCAGATCTTTAATTTAGTTGCTGCAAAAAGACAATTGGATGATTGCTTTCGATTGATCAGAAAAATAAAATGTTGATAAACTTTGAAAGGATAAAATAATAAATTTAGTATTATCTCAAATATTAACAATTAAATAATCAAATTAAAAATCCAGAAAAAAATCACCCACACCCACACCCCAAAAATCTTTTTCAATACCACCGCATCATATCCCATCGTCTTCTCCATTTTGGCCAGAGAACACCATCCTCATTTCTACAAACAAACCAATCATGTTATCCAGCAAATTCCACATTTTACAAAACCATTAAGCATTACATTCCACAAAAACACTATCCCTCTAAGGCCATTTAACAAATAAACAAAGTGCAATTTCTATACAATCATTATCTGCATAGAACTTGACCAGATCACTACCAACTTACACATCCACCTCCAAGCCTAAAACTTTAGTCAAGCCATGTGTATATCGCTAACTTAATAGAATGCAAGCCTATGTTGGGCCAAGCTCACAATTAGAGTGTATTTAATTGTAAATATGAAATTTGATTGGAAAGAAAATAAATTCTAGATAATTGAATTGCCTATAATAAAAATTTTCAATTAACTACATTTGATTGACCTATTGTTCAATCTAAAAAATGTTGTACTTTTCATGAAGTTGGAGCTTTTTGGAAGTGTGAATTGTCTAGAAAATAAAAATATAAACCTAATAAAGAAAATGTTTTTCTTGTTTTTAAATAAAATATGATCACGTGACTATCTTTTGAATGGAAAATGGATATTTTTCATAAAAAATAAAGTCAGTCAAACTCACCAAAGAAATTTTGGAAGCGAATCCCTCACATAAATTAACATTCTTGAGTGAAAGTTTTTGTAAAATCAATCTCCTTTTGAGCTATTAACAATGTGCAATTTCTATACAATCATTATCTGCATAGAACTTGACCAGATCACTACCAACTTACACATCCACCTCCAAGCCTAAAACTTTAGTCAAGCCATGTGTATATCGCTAACTTAATAGAATGCAAGCCTATGATGGGCCAAGCTCACAATTAGAGTGTATTTAATTGTAAATATGAAATTTGATTGGAAAGAAAATAAATTCTAGATAATTGAATTGCCTATAATAAAAATTTTCAATAACTACATTTGATTGACCTATTGTTCAATCTAAAAAATGTTGTACTTTTCATGAAGTTGGAGCTTTTTGGAAGTGTGAATTGTCTAGAAAATAAAAATATAAACCTAATAAAGAAAATGTTTTTCTTGTTTTTAAATAAAATATGATCACGTGACTATCTTTTGAATGGAAAATGGATATTTTTCATAAAAAATAAAGTCAGTCAAACTCACCAAAGAAATTTTGGAAGCGAATCCCTCACATAAATTAACATTCTTGAGTGAAAGTTTTTGTAAAATCAATCTCCTTTTGAGCTATTACTGTTCTAAACTCATTTGGATTCATTTTGAATTGATTGACCCTAATTTTTTCTTCTTTTTTTTTGGATTGTCTTGTAAAATAAATTTTTTGGGTTGAATTAAAAAATGGTGACTGTAAATTTTTTAATCCTTCATTATGCTTTGGATCATGTGTATGGTGCATTGTTTTGCGAAAAAGATATGTTGTCCAATTTTGCTATCCAAATTGTTGTCCATCAAGTGAATTATTGGCATGTCATTAATTAGATTGATTGGTGATAAAGTCGATGAAGGTAAATTTGAAATAATACATTAATTATTGATGACATGTCAATAATTCATTAGATGAACAGTCATTTAGATATCAAAATTAGACAATAAATCTCAACTCATTGTTCAGCATGGTGTTTTACCTTTAGAAAAGAAGATGAAGAAGAAGGGGTCGCTTGTTTTGGAGGTGGAGAGAAGCACCTTTTTTTTACTAGCTTAATTATTTTAAGGAAAAATTGTAGTAGCGATCCCTATCATTTTTAATTTTTGCAAATGTTACCCTAACCTTTGATTTATTCCAACGAATATTCCTAACCTTTCAGAAACACGCAGCTGGAGTTCAAGTGGATGAAGACCATTAGTTCACCAAAAATTTGATTTTGACCAAATTTTTTAAGGAAAAATGATAACTTCACTATCTTTTTGGCATGAAACAATTAAGCCCCCGTTTGATTCCCATTATTTTTAAAATGTATTTTTTTCTCTCTTATTTTCAATCACCCATTCTTTAATAAAATAATATTACATGCAAATTCAAAATTTTTTTCTTATCTTTTAACAACACATTTTCTATCAAATCACTATTACGAAATGTATTTTTGACAAATAATGGGAATCAAATGGGCCCTAAATAATAAAAGAACAAGTAAAATAAATAAATACATAATCTTTCCCCATCTACTGCCACTTACCCATTTTGGGGAAAACCCACCCACCATCTGCCACCTTTGGTCTCGCCACCTCCGGCCACGCACCGATGTTCACTTCAGCTCCCCCTCTCAAACTCCCTCCCCCCCCCCTCGGTCCCCACGTCCATACAGCCTAACCCCCCCCCCCCCCCCCTCGGTCCCCACGTCCATACAGCCTAACAAACTTTTCAAATTATTTTTCAACCATTAAAAATCAACGCAATTGATGCACCTGGTGGTGGTAACGGACTAGTGCAGGCAATAGGTGTGAAGATTGTTAAAATATAAGGAAATTGTATTGCCCCACCTCTAAATGGTTGAAAATATAAGGAAATTGAACTACGTTCCCTTAACTCTGAATGGAAATTGCTCAAAATTAGTGGGTGTGGAGATTTGGAGTGCAATACATTGGCTTTTTGTGCTTGGTGATGAAATTTACTACATGTAGAAACCATCTGAAATAGGCAGATATACCTTTAATAAAATTGAATAATCCACTAGAACATAAAATTGAATTATTTGATTTCTCTGGTAAAAATAGAACATGGGTTTGTGGTGTGAGGTCAAATCTTTATCCTTAAATCATATATTTAGTCCTGGCATTATGTTTCGAGTTGTTCAAAGGAGATTGGACTACAAAGGCATTGATATTCTTAGGAATTTAACTCGAAATTTTTTTTGGGTAATAAAGAAATTAGAAACGGGGAAAATGGTGGAGCTCAGTGATTCTGCAGGATCTAAAATTTGTGGCGATGATTTCATGAATTTTGGCGGACCAAAAATATTGTCGACTTCAGCGATGGTGCTGGAGATGGTGATAGTGTTAGGTCACGATGCTCATCGTTGATTTTCAAGTGTGAGGCCATGTGGTGGGGTAGGTCAGGGTGGCGCATGGGATGTAGTGAAGAAGAAAACTATTTTCTTTCATTTTTATTTATTTATTTTGTTTTTATAATACGGGCTTGACAAAGTTACCATTTTGCCCTTATCAAATCTGGTCAAAATCAATTTGTTTGGTCAACTAACAGTCAATTGAATGGTTTCGTTCATCTAGGCTCTAGCTACATATTTTTGAAAACTCAAGGACTTTTCCTGACATAAATTGTAGGTTAGGGTAAAGTCTACAGACATTAAAAAGATCAGGATCCATTGTTGCAATTTTTCCTTATTTTAATTGTCAATATTTTGGATGGTATAATTTACTATTTTCCTCTTTTAGAATTTGTCAAAATTAATCAAAATTTTATTTTTCTGTTTAGGTCAATTAGACGATAATGGTCTATTTGTCCTTCTGCTACAATTAAATTAAAGATTTGAGCCTATAGGTGACATGTGTGTTGGATAATGTCTGTCGACCTCAAAAAATGTGCCAATAGGTGTCGGCTTCCTTTGAAGTACACGTAGGTAGATTTTTGACACGCGGTCACAAGTAATGAATCGATAATAATCCAAAAGTGTGAACATAAGGGAATTTGTATGTCACTAATTGGACGCATAAAGACTCTGGCATTCGTCCCGTGAAATTATAGGGTTATGGTCACTAATCACGGACGAATCAACAAGAAATAAATTACGCGAATGTAGCTGTGTAAATGTTAATTTTACAAGAATGAAGAACAAGTCTTTTGTAGTATCAAGAGTTACATTATCCCCCTTTTTTTTTTTTTTGTTACATTGGTGGGGGAGGGGGTATTTTATAGGGTTACAAGTGAAATGGTGACTCTTTGATGGGGTACATGATAAGAGTGTAAAATATAATATATCTTCCTCTTAATTATTGCATTCATATGATTATTTGATATCAAAATGTACTCGTTATATTTATGTTTTGATTCAGGTTGCATTTTGGTAAAAATGATAAAAGTTAGAAGAAAAGAGTGAAAAATGACCAAAGTGGAAGAAAATGAAAGTTCGGGGACCAAAGTGCAAATGCTCCAAACTTGTGTCTAGCCTTGTGATGAAGATTGGAGAGTGTTAGAGGTTAAGTGAATGAGGAAATAAGTCAAAGGGATGAAATATTATCAAAATATGATCATATATCAATTACCAATCGAAAAAGTTATGCACCGATTTTTAGCCTCATATTGGGATCCCTTTTTGACATGTCAAACGATCGAATTGGAAGATGATATATGAAGAAAAGTTGTAGCCCTTTAATTTAACTTTCCAATGCAAGTTTAATCACCTCAATCGGATATCGAGAGAAAAAGTTATGGCCAAAATACTAAAAATTGTCCGACGAAGAAAATGGTTGATCCATACGGTCGCATAGAAGGCTCCAGGGAACTTCAGGGCTAAAAATATTTGTTCTATGCGACCGCTACACTTAATATTATGCGGTCGCATGGTTTACTTCTGAGTCGAAAATTCCAGTTTCCTAATTTGAGTCCAAAATCCTAATTTAAGTCCAAAACTTATGGAAACATGTCTCCTACGCGATTTTATGACCCTATGTTATCCCAAAACGCCGTTATTCATCTTCACACCACTTTTCTTTGGTTTTTGGCTCAAAAATTTCATGGAGAACTAAATCTTTGGTAAAGCCACAAAAGATCTCAATCGAATTTGGTGATTTTTATATCTATTCATTCAAGTAACATGCTTCTTCATTGATGAACGATTCTAGAATTTGGATTTCTTCTTTATATTTATACTTTTGAAGTTTGTTTAAATTTTATTAAATTATTCATGGATTCAATCATGTTTTTATTCATTGAATGACTAAAATATTGGTTGAGATTAAATTTCAATTGGTTTATTAATGTGATTTGATTACTGCTCTATGTTTAAGGTATATTGTCGTTTCTTGAATCTTGTTTCAGTAAATAAGCGTGAAATATGTTCGTAGTAAATCTAAATCCCAAGATTACAAGTGAGATTAAATTGATCTAGATTTCTTGCTTCTATAAAGTTGTTTGAGATTGATTTAACTTTTACTAGATCAGTTATAGATCTAGTCATGCTTTTCTATCGATTGATCGAAATAATTGTTGAGTTTCAATTTCATTTATGTCATTGGTGGATTATTTACTTCCTCATGCTTGATGTATATAGAGGTTTCTTAATCTCATTTTAATGAGCAAATGTGGGAATGTGTTATAAAAAGCCTAGATTTTTGAATAAAATGCATGAATAATTGATGTTGATTGATCCAATTCGAAAGAGTGAATTCCAGTACTTCCCTAATCGCATACATTGATATTTAAATCTCATTTCAAAATGATAAACTATTTTCACACAATCCATGAAAACTCGAGTTTGTTAAATCTTTTAAACAATTCGTCCATCTCCCTATGGAATCGAAACTCCAAAGTTGTGTTACAACTACCGCATTATATTTTAAGCGTAATCAGTACACGTGACCTCATCTCCTTAATTTAAATATCTAATCATAGGCATCAACTTTGACCTGTTAGCCTGTGGCGCGCTCAATGCTTATATAGAGCTATCACTTTTGTTGACAAGACTCGACAATCATACTCATTACTAATATCCCATCAATCATTTCCAAAAGATTTCACACATAGATTTAGGATCTCCCCCACATGGGTTGGCACTGAGTAGGGGGTCTTCATACTTCTCCGAGGCTATGTGCCTCGGATCTCTGAACTTCGACCTGGTGGATGAGATGGGCCTCGAACTATAATTCTTGACCTCGTTGTTTGTAAATAGGACTCTGTTGAGGCGGTTCCAATATTGTGAGCGGATCGGATATCTTTGCAGCGGAGGCCTTAGGCTTCATTACCACGTGGATAGTAGCGGCCCTAGGCCTCAGTGCCACGTGGCCGAGGCACAATAACGTCTACCAAATAATGAAAGATTTGGAACTGTATTTGCAATTATCCCCAAAATGTATTGACAAAAATTGAAGAGATTTTCCTTTGTGAATAAAGGTGCTGCTTCTTAAGTGCCCTTCGTTTGCATGAGTTTCAAATTCCTTTTTGGTTGGGCACTAAAAAAAAAAAAATAAATAAATAAATTTCCAAGAGCATAGGGTACCTCTCAACAAAAGCAAAAGCAAAAAATAAATCAAAATAAATAGCCAATGTGAATGCTTAGTAGGATCCTCGTACATGATGAATAACCAAATTTCAACTAAAATAAAATCTTTAAGATAAGTCAATGAATTTTGGAGGAATCAATGAAAGGACATCAATGAGTTAAATGTTTCATTAGTCACTGAACTTATATCTCTTTCATGTTTTACTTACTAAATTTCAAGATATTTTTAAAGTGATAATTGAATTTTAACACGTTGCACTCCATCATTCACACATCATATTTCATTAATCATTGAACTTTAAAAATGCTTGAAAGTGGTCATTGAAATTTAGATGTTGTATCGTATCATCCATTCACTATATTTCATTAGTCAGCAAACTTATACACTCGTTACATTTTACACATTGAACTTTAAAATATTTTCAAGTAGTTACTGAATTTCATAATATTTTTAAATAAAAGTTGATTTTTCATGATATTCAACCTAGATCAAGAAAATAAAATATAGGCTAGCTAATGAGACTCTCAATCTAAGATGAGAATACTAACATTGGTTAAGAAGATGTAATTTCTCTAGTCATCAAAAATTATGTTCAAGGGAAAAGAAGAATGTAGTTCTAAATTGACGTAAATCTTAATTTAAACCATAATACTCATTTATGCCGAGAAAATAAAAATAGAGAAATTTTTTCTTTATTTCGATTTAGATCTCAGACCAAAATAAAAATAAAATTATATCTCAAATAGACAATGAAAATTTCAATTTAGAGTTAATATTAATCAAGTTTAACAAAATATAAATTTTAAAGTTGTAATGAGGTATTCAAAAGGAAAAAAGGATGTCTTCTTCGTGTATGATATTTTATATTGTTTCAACTATTGAATGGTTGAATTCAGTTAAAGTGTGTTTGATTGAATTTATTTTCATCGAAAATATTATCTTTTCACATAAATTTCTATTTTTGGGGTGTTTGATTGACAATTTTATCCATAAAAAATATTTTTCAAATTTTGGTCATGTAATTATTTTTTCTTCAAAAGTAAGGAAAATATTTTTATTAGGGAGCGGTAATTTTTAATTTTGAGGTAATTTACACTCTCTTTATCTTTCTCATCTATTCATTCTCTCTTATCTACCAAAAAAACAACAGGTATAGTGCCTGTTTGATCCCCATTCTAATCTCATATTTTTTTTTTGAAATCTCATTTTGCTACAGTATTCTTTTGATAAATAAATGCAGCACGTTCAGATTTTGTCTGGAGAGAAAGCCGTTGAAAATAGACGGACTATTTTGCCCCTTGAAACAATTAGTAATTACATCATTACATCCTTGCCATCCTTTTTTTGAAAGCCACCTAGTTCAAGGGTAGATTTGGCAAGAACAAATATCCAAGATTCATCCTTGCAGTGTACGATTCAGCAAGTTCTGTATTTGTCAGTTGATCATCCTTTTGTCTCCTTGGGGCTCGCAACCGTGGAGAAAAAAATTGGAAAAAATGAGAAAAAAATGGGGGCCAAACACGCGCATAATATTTTTTAGGTTAAAAATTAATCAATCACAAATATTTAATTAATATTTTTCAACAAATAAGTTTTAGATAATTGAATTGTCTAAAATTTATTTTCTTTTTATATGAATTTTATGCTCGTAATTAAACGAACCATCAACAAAGTTTAGTGCTCAATTAGGAGCATTTTAAAATTTTGTAAGTAAAGCATGACATATATAAATTCGATGACTAAAGAAACATGAAAAGTAACTAGTGTGTTGAAATATGTTAAATTTTAGAGATCGCGTGCATTTTATAACTCGACGTCAATCCCCGATTTTTACTTAAGAGCAATACACGCCCTCTGCCCTGTGGCTAAATAAACCCTAATAAAGCCCTTCCAAGCGAGTGTACTTAAAAAATGATGATGGTAAATGGCAGTCGTCGAGTCTCCGCCGGAGAATCGGCGTTGATTCGGTGGCTTTGCGTGGCGGTGCGTGCCAAAGTCCCTGTAGCGGAGCAACTTGGAGGAGGAAAAGACGGACTGTACCGGAGATTGTCGGCGTTGGGACCCAAAAAAGGAACGGTAGCAAAAACAATAAATGAGTATATAAGGGAAGGAAGATCCGTTAGTAAATTCGAACTCGATGGTTGCATCCGTGAACTCCGTAAGTACAGAAGATACGACAATGCTCTCGAGGTATGTATGAGGCGTATGTATCAATTTTCCAGCCGGCTAACTCTACATTTGAACAAGAGGCGTTGCTCGTTAAGTAAATAACTGCATATACTGTAAGGCAATTGAGAAAGAATCAATAAATTACATGATTACAGGGACTTGTGTGGGTATGTAGAAATATATGCCATTTTTCTAATCTCTTAGCATTACAACTTGTTTTGTATAGACTAATATTTATATCTGGCGTTACCCTTTTTTTTCTGCTTTTGTATTTATTTCTGTTTGATTTCTAATTGTATTTGTTCTATCAGTCAGATCCCTCATTTTTTTTTTCTTTTCTGTCAGTGAAGAATTTTGTCCAACCTGGAGATGTAGTTTGACTAAATGATTCATGAGTCATCTGATTGCTGATTATGGGTTATTTATTTATTTATTTTTTATATTAGTTTCATTCAATTCATATACTTCTAATTCTCTTGATTTGAAATAAGGGTAGTTTGATGGTAAGAATGTAATTTGAATGGAAAGAAAATGAATTTAAGTATTGAATTGTCTATGACTTGTTTTATTTGGAATTGTGAATTAAATGTGCTTGATTGACATAATTTTTCACCTGAAAATATTGAAATTTTGAATCTTTTGGCGTTCGTTTGGCTTTGTTTTTCATGAAAATTGTCAATTAAAGGGATATAATTTGTTATAATTATGGATAGAATTTGTTAATAAATTTTAAAAAAAGCTGGAAAACTTATTTCTCACCAAACCCATTGGAATTGCAATTGGAAAAGGGGTCATGTGGGGGGTGGGGGTGGAAAATCAGTTGCCAAGAAAATTTTGTAGTCAAACAAGGAAAAAGGTGGAAAATGAAAATTTTTCCAATTTTCCATGGAAAATTTCACAAATCAAACAGGCTTTAAGAGATTGTTTTGGTTTTAATTTTAAGAGTTCTTTTCTTTTCTTTTTAAATGACACTTTTGACAACCCATTTTTTTGTTTCTTTTGAAACTTGTCGAAGTAATTTTGTTTTTCCTTTAAAAGTTTTTCGAAGTAGGAAATATTTCTTTTGAAAATTTTCATTTTTTATTTTTTTTTGAGTTCTTTAAAAATGGCCCTAAAAAAAGGAGGGTCGTTTTCGGGGAGAACCAAAAAGGAAGTTCATTTTTCCGTTTCCCAATCCGTAAAAAAAAAAAAAAAACCCATCTTTTTCATTTTACTTTTTCAGCATATGTTTGGCATGCCCATTTGAGCTATACCTATAAGAATGGTGCAAGCAGTTTTGATTTAGAGCTCCTAGGGTAATATGTACTACATATAGCTAAAATAAATTTATTTTATTTTTTCTCGTTTTCCATTTTTTTGTTGGTCTGTTGAGGTGCAGCTTTGCTATTTGTAAATAATTTTGGAAATGAAAAGATAGACATTTCAGATTTCTACTTTTCAATTGTAACTTATTTGAATGAAAAATCTGTAGAACCAAAGCAATCATAAAAGGTGCTGATATAATTCTTCTGTTTGGGGGCAATGTATAAGTTCTGAATTGTCATTTTTACAGATGCGAAGATTTTTCAATCTTGTGTTATTTTTATTTTATTTTTTTCTTTTTCCCTTGTCTTGCCATTGATTCATTGTCTAATTAAGAGATTAATTTTGATATGAGCTCAGATTGAACTACAACTCTATAACATATAATTTTATTTTGTTCAATATGAATCAAATTTGATAGTTTCATTTCATTTACTAAACAGTTCCTTACGTTCTTCATTCATTCATGAGTAGGATGGATTAACCATTCTCTGGAAGTAGGTAAACATTTTTCTATTTTTTTTCTTACTTGAATCGTGCTCAGGATAACTATGCATCAACCGTTCGAGCTCTTTTCCTTCATTTGTTTGAGAAAATAACCTTATCATCCTTTCTACAGTCAAACTACTTTCCTATTAAGTTCTTGCACATAATTATCATTCCAATCACGAATTTTTATTTTCTATTTTATATGTAGATAATAGAGTGGATGAAAGTAAGGAAAATTAACTTTTCCCTCAGAGATTATGCTATACATTTGGATCTAATTGGAAAAGTTAATGGAATAGCTGCAGCGGAGAACTATTTTGAGGGCCTCTTGCCTGCTGCAAAGAATCACCGTACTTATGGAGCACTTCTTAACAGCTATTGTGTGGAAAAAATGGCTGATAAGGCAGTGGATCTCTTCGAAAAAATGGACGAAATGAACATGATATCCAAAGCGCTGCCTTTTAATAATCTTATGTCCTTGTATATGAGATCAGAGAAGCCAGAGAGGGTGCTTCTTTTGAGAGAAGAAATGAAGAAAAGGGACATCCAACCGGACACATTTACTTATAACATATTGATGCACGGTTATTCACGTTTAAATGATATTGAGGGAGCAGAAAGAGTTTTTGAGGAGATAAAACGGGAAAATGCAAAGGTGTGTAATTGGACAACGTATAGTAACTTGGCAGTTCTTTATGTCAGGGCTGGACTTCATGAGAAAGCCGAGTTGGCTCTAAAAATGCTAGAGGAGGAGATGGGGCCTAGAAATCGTGAGGCATACCATTTTTTGATAAGTTTATATGCCGGAATCTCTGATCATGGTGATGTCTATCGCGTTTGGAATTCTTTGAAGTCAAAATTCAAAGTCGTGACCAATCTCAGTTATCTTATCATGCTTCAGGCTCTTAGTAATCTGAATGATGTTGATGGGTTGAAGAAAATCTACAAAGAATGGGAATCAACCTGTTCTAGTTATGACATTAGGTTGGCAAATACAGCTATTGGTGCTTATTTGACTCATGACATGATCAATGAAGCTGAATCTGTCCTTCGTACTGCAATTGATAGGTCAGATGGACCATTCTTCAGGATTTATGAAATGTTCATCCATTTCTTTCTGAAAAACCATCAAATAGAAGAAGCTTTGAGGTGCATGGAAGTTGCTACATCAGGAATCGAAAAGAATGAATGGCGGCCAAAGTTGGATACCATAAATAAGTTTATCGACTATTTCAAAGAAGCTGGTGATGTTGATGGATTTGAGAAATTCTACATATATATGAAGAAGATTAATTGCATTACTCACCGTTTGTACTGCTATTTGCTTGAGACGTACATAGCTGCTGGGAAAACGGCATCCAATATTCGTGCTAGGGTTGAGGGGGATGGAATTGAAATCAGCAGCCTGCTCGAAAAATTGATTACCTTGCTTTCCCGTGAATAGAAGTGCAGGCCAGGGCTACCCTTTTTTGCCAGAACCTCTCTCCCCTCTGCGCCAAACACGTGCCAGGGTTTGGGAAAGGATTTTTTGCACCCGCTTTTCATTTCCATTTTTATCTGCCTTGCTGGAAGAAAATTTCAGCTGTTTGTATACATCAGCATATAAGCAGTATGCCCTGGGGTTTGTTCAGTCAAGTAGAGCATTGCAAGATTTTATTGGGAGTTCTTGTGTCTCAGTTGCTTTCTTGGTAGAAATGGGAGTAGTTTTCAGACTTGAGACTGGATATTTACCACCAATTCACCGTGCAGATGAGCAGCAAATGATGTATATGCAGTATGCATACTTGGGATTCTGGGCTTTGCTTCCTTTCAAAAGGCACGATGACAGAGAATTCATGCATGAACATTCAAAAGATTTAGTGAAACCAAATGAAGAACAGAAGTGCAACGTTTTTTCCCCCCTTATTAAGAGTTTAGTAGACTCTTTATCTTGTTTCATCATTCTGTTACAAATTTCACCTCGTGTGGGAGAGTAGAATGGTTGTTCTCTCAAGACCTCCAAATTTAAGGTAGAATTTTTAACTGCCGAGCCAAAATAAATTTGCAATTCTATTAATCACTTTGCACCTGTTTGATGGTATTTAACCAAACAACAGAGTCTGAAGAAACAGATAGATGAAAGGAAAACCCAACAAAGTGGCAGACTGAAATACAAATAAAAGGAACCAGAAAAACTTTGTTATGTCATAAAAAGTTTTGTGATGAATCCTACTTACTATAAAAGAGCAGATCCAGTTATACTGTTCATTTTTGGACCACTGTGTTCACATTGGACTTGTTTGTAACTGGTTTCGTCCGATTGTTCGACTATTCATGAATGGGTTCCATTGCTATTGCCTAAATATCTCCACTATAATGTGCATTTTGTGCGCTCTCTCTCACTTCGTGCTATGCTTTTCCATCTCTTTCCTTTTGGATCTCGATTCCATTGGACTTCGACGTACACTTTCGGGACGAGGATGAAGAAGACGAAGACGACAAAGAAAAAGGATCCGTTGCGACAATCGGCATCGGAGTAGGAGCTGAAGCTCGAGATCGATGACCTCGAGGCCAGGGTCAATTCTTTTTTCCTTGGAAGAGAACAAAAATTTGCATAGTTAGATTGACTTCTTGATTGTTGTAAATTTTTTTTGTCACAGAAATTCCTAATGATGCATCTGCTGAGGTAACAGTAGACCAGTATCACAAATACAAGGTAGTTGGATTCTAAATCTTTGTTTAAAATTTGACCGTGCATTAAGGAAATTTTACTCAAACTATTTCTGGGAATATGTAGCAAGACGTCGATCTTATGGCAGAGCTGAACTTGAATGCCTACTAGTTTTTAATTTCATGGCCAAGAATATTCACGAGTAATTTTCGTAACAGATATTTTCACTTATCTAAATTTAGGAATAGTCAATAGCACAAGTAACTACGTGTTCTGTACATGTTGATCGAACTGGGAAAGTAAATTGGAAAGGAGATGCTTATTACAGTGGGCTGATCAACTATATGTCAAAAAAGGTAACCAAGTATTTATCCAATTAAGAGCATGCTCTGTCATATCTCATCAAGTCTAACAATGCTTATTTTTAGATGGCCATTACTCCGTATACTAATCTTAATTATTATGATCTTTAGCAAGCGCTTCAAGATAGGTACAATGGGTAGCTTCACTGTGAAATAGTGTAAGTATCATAAGAGAATCAATGTCATTTTATAATTGTGTTCTATTCGTATAATATTGATTCAAGTTCTGTAGGAAGGATTTTGCTGATTATGCAAAATTTTGTTTTAAAACATTTGGGGATAGAGTAAAGAATTGGCAGACGTTTAATTAACCTACAGTGGTAGCTGCCCTTGGCATACTGTGGGTTCTTTGCACCAGAACGATCCTCAAAAACATTTGGAAATTGCACTGAAGGAGATTCTGCAACCGAACCATATATTTTTTGTCATAATCTTATCTTATGTAATGCAATTGCCGCTCAGAGATACAAGAAGAAATATCAAGTAAAATAAACATTTATTTAAACACGAAAAATTACGGATTTTTCCCATCTGCTTCAATATGCCTATCCATTTTTATTTTTATTTTGGGTAAATTCAAGTCTTTTTGTTTTAAGGGAGATAGTGTTTTTGAATGTCTTTGAAAATGTCTTCTTAGGAGGAAAAAAGAGGGGGG